TTAATCATTAATTTTATCAAATGAGCAAACGAAGCCGCTAGAAACAGCGAAGTTCCGGAGCAGTGCCAGCAGCGCTACGTACACTGAGTAAGATGGCCGTCTCCGGATTGCGGGACCCACGCCGAACTATAGTAGCGGAACCACGCGGAACTGCGTCGACGTTTTCGAGGTTATGGAAATCGCAGGAACTGCTCCAAGACAGGCAGGTTTTGCTGCCTGCTGCCTGGGTGCCTTCCGTGCTGAGTTCGGTTCTGTTTTCCGATGACGAGTGCCGACCGGCGTTCAACGTGGTTCTGTATTTCTGCGCGTCTGCAACATAGCAGCAACGTCGTGAAGGCAGTGTTGTGGGTTCTGAACAGACGACTGGAATTATCGCCGATGTGACCGTGTGTTCGGGTATTAGTGGTGTAACAACTAGATGAGATGCCGTAAACTGGTGGGCATTGACACCGCTGGTCGGGCCGTGATCGGAGGGGGCGGGGTGTCGCAAGTTGACATTCCGCTTTACATTAAAAAGTTTAAGACCACTTGAGGAATTAGGCACGTGCAATCGATCGACTTGCGGATAATCATGTTGAACTCTGGTCTGAGCAGTAAGCTCCTATCGTACAGTGGCTAATGGGACTGTCAGTTGTCTCCTCGCCGAGAGCGATTGCGCTCTGGGGAAAGGACAGAACAGTGCAAAATTATGACGCAAAGTACGTATATTTACAGTGTGGAATTTTAGCATTAAAAAAGAATAGTAGGTAAAATCGAAAAAAAAAACCTACCCTTTTTTTGCTGTTTAAATATACTACTGCTCCTCGGGAAACTGCCCTTTAAGTGGCGCGCTGGAATGAGCGCTAGAAGTTTTCGAGCTCGCCATGGCGTAGCTTCGTACACTTAACACCTGCCGCAAGTAGCGACTTTGTCTGCATTCAGGTTTACCGAAAAGCGATATATCTGCCTGTGAAGCATCGCTTCCAGCTTGGTGAATATCCATTCTACAGAGATTAATTCAAGACGACAATTTCAGCCAAATAGAAAAAGAAACGCTGCAACAGACTACGACGTGCCGTACGGGAAAACAAGTGAATGGCTTCGAACCGCATTGGAGCGGCTTGATTTATTGGCTTTCAAATAATTACGGCATGATCGAGCGATTACTCTTTAATAAGAGATTCTTCCCCTGAGCCATTCAAAATACTCTCAGAGGTATGACAGTGCTGGTAAAAAAATGAACATGCTGGAAATATTTTTTATTGCTTAGGGAGTCACCGAGAAATTCCGTGCGTTCAAAAAAACGACCAGTATAAAGGACAGGAACACAGAGCTCGGGTGTAGTGTTCGGGTTAGTGCGCCGTTGTGTCGAGGTATGAATGTGCCATGTATGTCTATGCCCTCAATGTATGTTGCTTGTAGTATGCGTAATGTGTCTACATGTGCGTGTATAGAAGAGGTCCCCGAAGATCCCGATGCGTGATGGTGACCTGAGAAAATAAAAATATTTTTTGTAGAACATGAATTGGGTGGTACCTAGCGCCACCTACGCTAACTGCTTGCAATTACTCTGCTTGACCCTGCTATCTGGTGGCAAGCGATTTAACCTTCTTTCAGGCTACGCGATCTTTTGAGAGCGGCTTTTAGTTTGGCGGATTGGTTTTCCATTCCTCCGTGATGTGGGGTCAACCAAGGAATTGTGGCTCGAGGAACAGCAAGGTAAGACGTAAAGGGCACGAAGCAACCGGGTATCGGTTGTCTGCGTTTAACGTCGCAGTGCTGACGACGAGAAGACTGAGTAACTGCTTTTGAAACGTAACTTTCTGTACCTTCGGGGCTTATCTGGCTTCGTAAATAAACACAACTCCCGGAAAGCTCGCGTTACGCTTTTATTTGCTGCTCCTCTCGTCCCATTCATGAGACGTAGCGTCCTCATTAAGCCTCACTGAGCTCGATTTGCTCGATTCAGGGCCGCCACAACGAGATGCAGGTGAGGGAGGAACTATTTGCTCCCCTGCTTCAGGGACGAAAGTTTCCCGCTTTCTAAAGGAACATAGGTTAAAAGACCGATCCTCCCCTTAGGAAGGACTATCGATACCCTTTTCTAAGAGTACAGGCTAAAGAATCTACGGTGGGTCACGATCTCGCATCCCTTGGGAAAGGCCAAGTCGGCCAGTAGAAACATCGTCTGCGGCGCCGGTCAGACGGTCACTCTACCGATAGCGACTCGTTTTTGCAAAGAAAACTAGCCGCGACTACTGCGGCACCGACGACAGAGGCCCTCGTTCGGAGTTGAACAGTTCACCGTTCGGTGTCTGCGCGTCGCGTGTGTCCGCGAGGTGGCTTTGTCGCTTGGCTGGAGAGGCGGCGATGTTTGATGAGGCCGTAAAGGGTGAAGACGAGGCGAGATAGAGCCCCGCACAAAAAGATTGTTATTAAGGCAATGCAAAATGCACCTTTCTATGCGATGAGAACGGTAAAAAGGACTGAACCATAAAAATGTCTAACCCCTGCGCCAGCACTTCAATGCAAATAAAAAAAAAATGTTGCGTTCTCATTTTTTTTTGTCCCGTTTAGTGTGGGTCACAACCTCATCTCATGGTCGAACCCGCTGTAGTGTTCACACGATAGGGTCATTTTTTCGCGAAAAATATCTGCATTTTTGCAGATACTTTTTAGACACTTTTTTTCAGAAATGTATTAGTTATCGTTAAAGTTACTTTAAAAAAATGTGTCGAGTTACAGTTAAAAGTTACACAAATGTATAAAGTTATAGTATCGCGATACAAGTAACGCGATACTATTCAAGACCGGCCTTTGGGTACTTGGGTTTAATACAATGCAGGCAACGAAGCTACAGCAGAAGTGCATTGTGACGTTGTGCTAAAACGCCTTTCTGCGTTTGCTATGACGGAATAAGACCAATCACGCAGAGTGAATGTACCCGTTCCTGTGCCTTTTTTGTGTGTCTTTTATTGGTTTAGTAGGCGATAGCAAACCAAAAATCACTCTAAGCGGCGTGACGTTGCACTTTTGGCGCCGCTTGAGTAGCCCCATCGGATTACGGCGTCGTGCGTCGTCTGCTCTAAGACAAAGTGAATCGAAGTATAGAAGGAAGTGCTAAACTTAAATGGACAGCTATCTACCCTCAAGCCAGAAACGCACACATGATTATATTGCAACGCGTTTCTCAAATAATGCTCTTTTCTTTTTTTGACTGAAAGCCGTGTGTGCCTCCGACTCTCAATTTACCACAACACAAGTCAAATCTTTATCAGGATTGCCTCTGTTTGTGTAGGAATTCACCGGCCTTGGATACTCGAACTCGATTACTACGGGTCTGAGCGTCCGGTAAATGTCTGCCAGAATCATTTGCATGCTATATGGTCTAGCTCCTGAAACGAGGGCGAGCAAATACGATTCCCGATAGCTACGCAAGGCCGGGAGACACTGAGGCCGAGATTTCTCGCTTTGTTTTTCTGGAACGCACATTCTCTGGGGGTAACAGCGTCTCAGTGACTTGTTTCCTACTTTAGGTTTCGTGAGGAGCTTAACTTGGAGTGTATATTTGGGTATTAACTCTAAGAGTACGTTACACATAGCATAGGTGGTGCTTACTAAAAGTAGAATTAATGTTGCGGCTGTAGGCTTAAATTATCGATTACACGATATTCTGACACGGATTTCGTGTTCCACGCATTTAATTTCAATCTCATATTATGATTTTGATTTAGCCTTCTAAACTGTCTTTCATTTTGTTGTTTAATTGACGGTATTATGAATTTAAAAAAAATTTCGACTTTCTTTGAATATTTCACCCTGAAGCCGGCCTATGCCTAATATTGAGGTAAGAACCTATATGTCTCCTCAGAATTATGTTCTCTTTTTATATATACTTATTTCATTCTCAACGTCAGCCACTCGGATGTTAATAATATTCGCATTGCTTAATACCCTTTTATTAGACGGCGCTTTTATCAATTTGCTTATATATATATATATATATATATATATATATATATAGGGTGTGTCACGAAAGGTGGACAAATTCGATATTGCGAAAACTACGCGTCGCAAAAAAAAAAAAAGGTTTGTGTCGTTTTGTTTTTTAGCCAGGAGCCTACTTATGAAAATTATTAAAGCCCGGAATAATTAGATTGTTAATTTTTTTGCGTAATTAACTATATTAATATTGTGTTTAAGGGAACGGTTTCAATTGGAAAATTGCGCAGCATCATCGAACAACACTAAATCAGGAGACTGTAGAACGATAGAAGGCACCCGAAGCATTTTACACCATTCTGTGAAACCACACAAATTCGACGGGTTTTTAAGTTTCGGTTTGCAATGGGAGCGCATCTCGGCCCCAACGGCACCGCGCCCCGAAATAGTGCAACCAGCCTCTGCTGAGTTGCGCGAGGAGAGCGCAGTGGATGTTGGTTGCAAAATTTCTCCACGAGGTGCGGTGCAGTCGGTGCCGAGATGCGCTCTGATTGCAAACCGAAACCTATCAAACCTGTCGAATTTGTGCGGTTTTTCAGAAAGCCGTGAAATGCTGCGCGTGCCTTCTATTGTTCTGCATTTTTTATAATGTTTTTGGATGATGCTGAGCAATTTTCTAATTAAAACCATGCCCTTAAACACAATATTAAAAAAGTTTAATACGCAAAAATAATCAACAATTTAATTATCCCGGACTTTAATCATTTTCCTAAATAGGCTCTTGGCCCAGCACCGAAACAACACAATTCTTTCTTTTTTTTTTCTGCGACGCGTAGTTTTCGCAATATCGAATTTGTCCGCTTTTTGTGAAACACCCTGTATGTACAAGCATTTCGTTGCGCTGGAGAAGATACGAGTATTGCACAAAATTGCATCGCATTGACGAAGCTCCAAATGAGCAATCTTGAATTATCAATATTAAAAACGAAACGTAATCGACAGTGAGGTGCGAGTCACTATTACTTTCTTCAGAAGCGAACGGCGATGCATTGCGATTGAGAGGGCACGGCGGGACCACAATGGCAACAACGCTAAGCCCGTCTATCTTCTTTGTTCAGGTCACGCTGTGTGTTCTGACTCACCACGTGCCGACCCCACCCAAGAATGAAGTCAGCATCTTGAACCCGCCGGCAGTGAGCATCAACTGCACACACCCGGGAGCGCACCATGAAACGTCACCAACACATCCCGGTTTGAAGACGGCGCCGCCAGTGGAGGCATATAAAGAGGATCGCGCCATGGAATTCCTCAGAGGGCACGGCGGGACCGCAATGGCAACAACGCTAAGCCCGTCTATCTTCTTTGTTCAGGTCACGCTGTGTGTTCTGACTCACCACGTGCCGACCCCACCCAAGAATGAAGTCAGCATCTTGAACCCGCCGGCAGTGAGTATCAACTGCGCACACCCCGGAGCGCACCATGAAACGTCACCAACACATCACGGTTTGAAGACGGCGCCGCCAGTGGAGGCATATAAAGAGGATCGCGCCATGGAATTCCTCAGAGGGCACGGCGGGACCGCAATGGCAACAACGCTAAACCCGTCTATCTTCTTGGTTCAGGTCACGGTGTGTGTTCTGACTCACCACGTGCCGACCCCACCCAAGAATGAAGTCAGCATCTTGAACCCGCCGGCAGTGAGCATCAACTGCGCACACCCCGGAGCGCACCATGAAACGTCACCAACACATCACGGTTTGAAGACGGCGCCGCCAGTGGAGGCATATAAAGAGGATCGCGCCATGGAATTCCTCAGAGGGCACGGCGGGACCGCAATGGCAACAACGCTAAGCCCGTCTATCTTCTTTGTTCAGGTTTGTGACAAACATGCTTCTTGCTTTCGAAGCAATTATAGATGTATTGTTGTCCTGCCGTGCCCGGCCACAATTGAGTGTCTTATTGTGGATGCATGGAGTGTCATTTTGATCCTTCTATCTGGAGATGTCGAGCAAAACCCTGGGCCTCAAGGGATAGAGGAACTGAAGGTGATGATGAACGCCATGCTTACTTCGCAGAACGACCTTAAAACGCGAATTGTTAACCTGGCGGCTTCCCAGGAAAAGCTAGAATCAACAGTGAACGCTAGGATGAACGAAGTTATGACAGCTTTACAGGAGCACAAGGGAGAGATTCGTGTGCTGCAGGGGGAAGTCACATCCTTTAGAAATGACCCCCAGCTCCAACAAAAGCGCCTCGACGACTTAGAAAATAGGAGTAGACGCCGCAACCTTGTCATTTTCGGGTTTCCTGAGCCCGACCGTGAAAACACCGAACCATTAAGAAGCCAAATAATCCAGGACTTAATAGGACAGAAGCTTGGAGTAACTGTTAGCTCGGTGGAAAGAGTCCACAGGATAGAAAAAAAACAACCAGACAAACCGCGGCCTGTGATAATAAACTTCTTTGACTATAACGAAAAACTGAAAGTACTAAAAAATTGTAATAAATTAAAAGGAACTACAATCTCAATCAACCACGACTTTTGTAAGGGTGCACTTGCAAAAAGAAGCAAACTTTGGTCCAAATCTGGGGACTTCAAAGCCAGAGGACGTAAGGTAGTGCTGGACTATGATAAACTACGGGTTGATGACGACCTATATGAATGGGACGAGCAGAATGACTGCCTGAAGTGCATCCGCTCTCAGGAGCGACGGAATGACGTCGACTGACTTGAATCGAAACAGTTACGTTTTGTACTACTAAATGCCAGAAGTATCGTCAATAAAGTCCACCAGCTCGAAGAAATCATACTTACATATAATCCGCAGATAATTGCAATCACGGAAACATGGTTATCAGCAGATATTCTTGATGCCGAAGTTACTCCCCCCACTCACAAAATAATCAGACGTGATCGTGGCTCTCGAGGAGGGGGAGTTGCCTTGATAGTAAAAAAGGAAATCTCATGCGTCATCTTAAGCGAAATAACCGACAATGAAAGTGTATGGTGTCAAATCGACTATTATGGGTTTTCGACTCTCGTAGGTGTTGTCTATAGGCCCCCATCTTCTCCCGAGTCATTTCTAGAGAACATTCAACTTCACATGGAACAAATATACAAACCCATTCAAAAAATCATAGTGGCGGGTGATTTTATTCTACCGTCAATTAACTGGTCGACTTTCCAGCCTGGCTCAACTGAAGAAAAGAGCTGCCACTTGCTACTCGAAATAATGCTCAATTTTAATCTAAGTCAGCTTGTTACTGAAGGTACTCGTATCTCCCAAAATAGCAATAACACGCTGGACCTAATTTTTGTTGGAAACTTTCCAGAGGACACTGAGGTTAACGTTTACGATGGAATTTCTGACCACAAGCTTGTTTTCCTTACGACTAATTTTTGCCAGTAAAAAAGAGTCACGATGGTAAACTTGTCTTTAACTTCGCTGCTGCAGATGACGAAGCTATTATTGATACTCTTGATTTGAACTTCAGCGACTTTGAGACGGAGGGTGACATTACAACATTATGGAATGCCTTTAAACATATTACTGGAAAGTGCCTTCATAAATATGTACCAAAAATAGTAAAAAAGGAACATCAGAACCCCTGGATAACAAGAGAGATAATACATCTTAAAAGGACATTATCTAGGAAACGGAGAGGAAATCGTAAAAATGCTGATGTCATATCTTCCCTCACAGAGACGTTGAAACAAAAAATAAAGACGGCGCGTGATAATTTTTTTGGAACAACGTTAGTAAACTTTATGAAAGAAGCGCCTCAAAAGTTTTGGGGGTACCTGTCGGGCAACAAGAAATCTATTGAACAGCTTCATGTGGATGGAAATGCTGTTACTGACTCCTACCAAATTGCGAACGAGTTTAACAGCACCTTTCATGGTGTTTTTAGTTCAAGATGCACTTCTGAAGAAACTATTGACTCAGTACCTCTTTTCCCAATAATGCGAGATATAGACTTGAACATCCACGGTATACGTCATCTACTTTTAAACCTAGATGTAAAAAAATCATGTGGTCCTGATGGCATCCCAAATGCTTTTTTGAAACGTTACGCAGAGATGATTTCACAATATTTATATGTCATTTTCAAAACCTCTTTGGATCAGGGATGTCTTCCACCTGACTGGCTTTGTGGAAAAGTTGTACCCGTACATAAGGATGGGAGCAAACTGCTTGCTGAAATTACAGACCGATATCATTAATTAACACCTGCTGTAAATTGCTAGAACATGTCATCGCCAGTCACATAAGTTTTTTTCTAGATAGCCATGACATATTAGCCAACTTTCAGCACGGGTTCAGAAAAAGATTGTCTACTACTACTCAACTGCTCTCAGTAGTACACGATTTCGGCCATGCAATTAATAACAGAGAACAAATTGATGCAATATTTTTAGACCTATCCAAGGCCTTTGACAGGGTACCGCATCACCTACTACTAATAAAATTGCAACAGGTTGGCATTGCTCCTCGCCTTGTGACATGGATCGCTGCTTACTTAAAAAATAGGGTACAATTTGTTGAAATCAACGGATGTCAATCAGTACATCTTGACGTGCTATCTGGCGTTCCACAGGGGTCGGTCTTAGGACCTCTCTTATTTTTAGTTTATGTCAACGACATAGCCGACAACATTGATACAAGTGTGACCGTGAAAATGTTTGCTGACGACTGCATTGTTTATAGAACTGTCAGAAACACGTGCGATCAAGTATCGCTTAACGAAAACTTTTGCGAAATTGCCGAATAGTGTGAGAGGTGGCGAATGGTTATTAATTACTCTAAAACGTGCGCTCTCACAGTAACGCACAAGAAATACCCTCTTAGCTTTGCATACCACGTTAAAGACAAATACATAAAAACTGTAAACGAGGTAAAGTATCTGGGCCTACATCTTAATTCAAAATTAAATTGGGAAACCCATATAGATAGTACAACCGCAAAGGCTTACAAAAAGTTGTGTTACTTAAGACGGAAGCTGGGACCATGTGACTCGTCGGTAAAACTTTCGGCATATAAAAGTTTGATTCGGCCAGTGCTAGAATACGCGTCCATTGTGTGGGACCCGTACTTAATAAAAGATATTGGAAAAGTCGAGAGAATCCAGCGCCTCAGTGCACGATTTATTTCTTCCGATTTTAGGCGCCTATCACCAGTGTCGGACATGATACGTAATTGCGGACTCGAATCGCTCAAGTCTAGGCGTAAGATTGCTAGGCTGGTTTTTTTTTATAAAGTCTACAATAATGAGTCCGGCCTGGACAAAACCTTATACCTTTTGCCACCTCCCCAGCGCTCTGCAAGATTGAATCACGCAAAAAATGTGAGACCATATGCTCCTAAAAATAACACGTTTAAATACTCCTTTTTTGTACGTACGATTAACGACTGGAATTCACTGCCCTCCGATTGTGTGCATGCCCCAAATATTGACTGTTTTGACTGTTGTGTTCGAAACCTTATGTAACCGATTGTGTGCATGACCCAAATGTTGACTGTTCTGACTGCTCTGTTTGAAACCGTATGTAACCCTTCCTGCTTGGATGGTGAAAAACCATCTGCAGTATTTTCTAAATAAAAAACAACAACAAAGCAAAACAAACAGATGTGCATACGGCCAAATACCTGCCATTTAAGGCCACGGTCCCACTGAATGTGGCAGTTTAGGTACTTTTTGGCAGGTCATTACTCATCTCCTTTTAAATACTGCTTTGTGGGATTGATGTCATTCGAAAGGCAATGCAATCCTCTTTCATTTGATATTATGTGTGTGTTGGTTTTTACTGTTCATACGCATTTGTAGCGTTGCGAATATGATGTCGCGGACCCTCACTTGCTCCGCTAGTTCATGTTTTATGAACGATCCATTAAAGATAACACGGTTCCAATATAGCAGTTTTGTTAACGTGATGTCGGAGCAGACCGTAACGATACACTTTTTTATATTTGCACTACTTTGTTTTTTCATCCCTCCAAAGATTGCCCTAACATTGACATTTTTCAGCACAAATATGTTTTTAATGACAAGCGCTAGGACAATGAAATTAGCTACAGATATAGTGCTTATTATTGGTAATATTCAGAAAAAAAATGTAATGATGTGTAAAATTTTTTTGTTTAGATATTTTATATCAAACGTAGCACTTTTTGGTGCTTCGAGTCATGGTACTTCAAATGCCGCTGAGGAAATAATTAAATCATGATAAAATCGTTTATATCATTTAGAGCTACAATGGTTGCCCAAGAGGTGGACGATGGCTTTTTTTCATTTTCAAAATCATAACGCTCCAGGAGCCCTTCAAGCTTACCTGTTTTTGACGATATCTTTTTTGGACATCAAACATATTTATTGGCATCTAATAACATTTATTGTTTGGAATAGATATACATAGCAATGTATTAGATTTTCACAATGATATTGCTTTGGTTTTTAATAGGTGTAGAGCTTAGATCATTTTAAAAACAATTAAAAACTGTTTGGGTGTTTTGTTGCGCTACCTGGCGGGAGGCAGACAAACTGCTGAATTCTAATGTTCAAATTGTGATGTATTATATTGTTATGGATGACACACAAGGCAGGTGTTAAATAACGAAACTAAAGGTTTAATATGGCAAACTTGTGCCAAACTAAATTGGAGAAGGCTAGCGTCGCAGGCGTCGATGTCGGCGAAACATCAGGGTCAAGCGATGGCGAAAGACTGCCTCCGACTCGCCACGCGTAGCCTCTTATGTACACGCGTGGGTTTCTGCAACATTCAACGTAGAATGTTCTTCGCTTAGAACATCCCTGCCTCGATTAGGCGACAAGGTTCTTTAACTTACTACAACGCTAAATTGAACGAGTAAATAAAATACGCGTCGATCCGAGGAATCCAAATCGCGGCCCTTTAAGTGGGAGCCATGCACAATTACCGTTCGGCCACGTCTCGATGCACGGAAACAAGACAGAGCAAAGAAGCAAAATTATGGCTAACTACGCAGGCGTGTAAAACAGGGTCCTGTCTAGCGTGGTACGCGATCACAGTTCACAGTCTCATCGAGCGTACTACGGCTTGAGGCGCACGACGCGGACGACCTCAAGTCGTGGTGGGCGGCGTGATGATGTTCTTGTGCCTTCGGGCTTCACTTCGTAGTTCAAATCGTCTACTCGGCGAAGTGCACTGTAGGGTCCGAAGTACCAATTCAAGAATTTCTCACCGAGACCGCGTCGGCGAATCGGTATCCACACCCATTCCCTGTCCCCGGATTGAAAGTGGACGTCACGACGACGAAGGTTATACCGGCGTGCGTCGACACCCCGGTTGGTCTTGAATCCAGATTCTTGCCAGTTGACGGGCTTCCTCTGCGCTCTAAAAAAGAAGTTGAGCGTCTTCGTTGTCGTCGTCGGTTGACATGTGTAACTTTATATTGCGTTAACTTTATATTTCAGAAAGTAACTGTAAAGTAATTTTACTTTTTTAACAAGGGTAATGGCTGTAATTGGTTGCAATTTGGTTGTCTTTCGCAGAGGAAAAATGCGAGACCTTTAAATATGGCCGAAAAGATCGTAAGAAAAATATTTGTTTTTTTAGAAGGGTAAGCCCTACCGGAATCACACTGTCTCCTGCATTTATAAAACACAAGGCCTGGCATTCTTTAGATGCTCAAAGCCTTTCTTCACGGCACCTAAAACCTCGACTCATTTTTGTTTTTGTTTGGTTGTTTGTGAAATGAAACTTGCCACCTGCTCGCCGAAAAAAATATGTGAAGCTCACTAAT